TATATTTATGTTTGTGGTTGTTATGTGACAAAATATGGAAAAGTTCAAGGGGTATGAATACTTTTGCAAACCACTGTATCTTGCATCTAATTAAAAGGGAGAGATTTCTGCTTGCCTCAGTAAAATAAGAGTGTCACACTTAATTATTAAAATTCAAGTCCTAAGTTTCTAAGGATTAAATCATGGAATAAAACACACACCTTCTTCAGGAAAACATTTCATCAAAACAATTAACACCACACAGTTACCACACTGAGTCCTTAGTGGGCAAACAGTTAAAAAGAGAACATAGTAGAGCTTCAACGGGTTTTGTTCTTTTCTGTAAGAAAAATGGATTAGATGACATTCTTTGCAATAAGACAGAAAACATTAGATACACAGATTCCTTTATCTTTTCTCCTTTTTTTTCACATTTAATGAAGAATGTAGGTCCTTTGTTCCCAGTCACGCCGAAGAGTCAGTTTAAAGGCATTTATGATCCCTTTGAAGAGGAACCAACAGTCTTGTGCTTATGGGAGATGGAAGCAACAGAACTTGTGGGGTTCGGAACAGGAATGTGACAATTCTTATCTATTAACAGTAAGGCGTCAGGACGTCTGGTGGGGGTTTGTGTAAGAGATGTTAATTCGAGCCACAAAGGAAGTTCCATGCAAAAGTGTTTAGAAATAGTCTGAAGTTAAAGTGAGGGGTTTTCTTCCTCTTTGAGCTGTTGTCATAGGAACAAGTGAAATCTAATCAGAAATGATTATTTATATGCAGGAAAATGCTACAGTTGCTCTAAACATAGTGACTGATTTAGGTTTAATCCAATGACCGGGAACAGCCCTGACTTTAACAGCTGACAAATGCTGTGTTTACTGCTGGTTTTATGCATTTAGTTATCTGGTGCACTCACTGCAGTTTTTTGTTCACCTCAGAAAAAGAGGTGAGCTCCAAGCAAAGCCTTACATCTAACTCTTGACTAAAATCAATATTAGAGTTATACAAATACTGTAGGTCAAGTTATTTCATACTAGCAGCTTCTTATGTTGACTCACCAGGCAACATAAAATCAATCTTTTTGAAAACAATTAATCATTATTTTCTGCAGTTGTATTCTTTTTTTGTTTGTTTTTGTTGTTATAAAAGTTTTAAATGTTGAAAAATTGTTACAAGAAGTATTTGCTACAATAGTAAAGAGCATCTAAAGTGTCACTGCATCTATGAAAAGTTCTGAAATTCAAGAATCAGAATAAACTTTGATAAAAAAAAATCTCTCAGACCTATGTCTATATTTTAGCAATGTGCGCAATCCACCGAAACCATAGCTTCAGTAAAACTTAGTTTGGAGTGGATCCCAGTAAATCATTAGAGAGGACCTAAAACATCTGTACACTGATGCTTCCTGTCCAGAATGGCTGAGATTGAACCTTTCAGCCTAAAATTAAAAAAAAAAAAAAACATCCACAGCAAACATCTGCCAGACTTGTAGGATCATTTCCAAATATTTTGAAGGCTGCTGTTGGTGCTATAGGTGGTTTAATTAACAGTTTCAGAGACAGATGTGGTCTTTAACTGAATCCCAAAGCTGCATTGGTCTCTATAAGCCTTATGCATGTTTGATTAAAGCATTTTGTTCATGATTATGGAGAAAATAAAAAAACTGTTTTGTCTTTATTGTGGGAAATAATACAATGAGGCTGATGTGGGGGGAAAAGTAAAACAAACTATTACAAGAAATCTGAGACAAAAATGAGTGTGAAATGATTAGATGTGCAGTGTTTTGGGTTGGGTGTTTGTGTTTGTGGAAGGAATGGGATGATGGGGTGCCTGTGCTGCTTTTGTCACTTTAGTAATTGGCCTTGAGAGTCTTTTAATTTGATGCTAATGAGAATTTGTTTTAGCAGTCATGCACTCTGTGATGTGTGTGTCTGCCTGGGTATGAAAGCGAGTGTGTGTTGATTAAGGATTGTGATATAGTGGAAGCGACAGACTGTACAGATGTTCAATAAATGGGCTGGAACAGGAATAGAGATATAATTTGCTTATGCTCTCATATACAAGCAAACATGGAGATAAAAATAAAACATGCAAACTAAAAAAACAGGGTTTGTGTTCTTATGACTTTTTAGACACATTTTGTTGATCAGGGTTGAATATATAATTCAGCAAAGAAAATTAACAGCTCAAAATGTGAATGTGACATTTGGATTAGTGTTAAACTAACTGGGAAACACATAAAAATGTGAATAATATGAAAAATTAAATCAGTATTGATTGATGTGGATAAATTACAACCTTCACACTCAGTAGTGTGAGTGACACTTTTAGTTTCAGCTCTCTCTTCTATCTTTAATTTCTCCTCATGCAATCTAAAACACACCTTTTATTATTTTAAGCATTTTACTTTTGCTTCTCCTGTAATTTTTTTCATCTAAACCGTTCTCGCCCCCAACCCTTTTTTATGACTTGTTCTAAAAATGTGTTTTAAGAAATCTAAGACATTCTTAGAAATTWATTTCCACATTATCTCAGCTTGTGATGACAAAGCTTGTTTTTTAGAGATAATAAATGATTCAGTTTAATTATTCCAATGTAAAACAGCTCGTTTTCTCTTGAACTGAAAATGATCCCAAATTCATAAACTGTAGGTGGAACTTCATCAGTAATCAGAACACTCATGCTGGCGATTGATTTGTAGTTGGAATGCCAAGAAACATCCATCGCTGATCAACACATTACTGTTGGAGGATGTCTCCAAGTGTCCTGACAGCAGACTGAATGATGAAACTGGATGTAACACAAGAGTCACTCATTTTGGCTCCATAATCATCTTATCTTGAAATAACGTTTGTTTGGTGATATGTTATCTTGAGAAAACAAGTTTTATTTTCCTGACGTAGAACTAGCTTGGTAATTCCTAACTGACCAATCAGCTTGTGATCTTGAGGGGAGCTTCTTTTATCATCATTTGCTTTTCTAGTTTTGTAATGTTAACATCTGTGGCTTTCACTGCCTCTGACATTTTAGCACTTGGTTCAAATCCAGCACTGCTCTGGATTTTCTGGATTTTTCTACCTTTTGCCTCTACCACCCAGAGGTGTATACTTAATACTTTGTTACAGTACTTAAGTATTTTTTTATGATTTAACTTATTGTTACACTCAATAAACAACACATTTACTTTACATTTACTATAAAGTAAATGTACTTTAAGTAAATGCAGAGTAAATGCGTTACCTTTACTCAATATRTGTTTTTTGAGCGTTAAAAGTACGTATTTACAAAATGAGGCAGAAATGCATAAGGTAAAGTAAATACAGACAGACAAATGTAAAAACAATAACTAAAAGGACTTGTGGGAAAAATTACAAAAAAATATATATAATCATTTAAGAGACACAGATGCATCTAAAAGTAAAAGAAAAAACAGTTAAATATATATTTTTAAAACTAGTAAAATGTAAATTATGTTTCAAAGTATTTGGAACTAAGTTGTAAAAATAAATATAAAGGTTAGTTAAACTATAAAACATGAGCTAAAGTTTTCCTTTTTTAAATTAATTGGTACTTTTGAAGTTTATTTATTTATTTGTCCATTTACATATTTCTGTTTTTATTTCTAATTATGTCAGATACTGTCCTCCATAATGGAGTTGTTTCTGCATGCTAAAAATAGTGTTGACCTTATTAAACCTAGCTGGTTCCCCTAAACTGCGTTGAGTACCGTAAATGTAAAGAAATGCTCATTTTATTCAACTAGGTTTAGTAAAACAAGTTTGGTTATAGGTGAGTTCAACACTTCATTTCTTTAGAGTGTGTGTAAAAGTACTTTTACTTTCCCAAATATTATGAGTCGTTTTATGACCGTTAAAGAATTTTTTTTTTTTACCYAAGTCATTTTTTGTTAATTTATTTTTTTAAGTACTGTATATACCTTTACTACGGCCATGCTTGCTGTCTGTTTTATGTGTCTTTAAGAAGCAGCAGAGCTTTTATCAGACGTCTCCATTGTGAGCGCTCAACCAGCTGTGGTATGAAATGAGGATATGCTGAATCAATACCCAAAGTGGAGTGAGCGCAGAATGAAAAGTGCAAATCGGTGACTGTAAAATAAAAGTGGCCTTCTGTCTTTTTGTTGCAGGTGGTGTGTGCATTGCTCAGTCCCTAAAGATCCCCAGGGAGCCCAGGCAGGGGGAGTTCGACAAGATCATCAGACGGCTGCTGGAGACCTCCAATGCCAGGGCCATCATCATGTTCGCCAACGAAGATGACATTCGGTTTGTGCTGTGCTTTATTAACTCCTCCTGACAAATCTTCCAACTACTTAGAGTATTTTGTTAAATAGCTTTTGTACTATGCCATTTCCTAGCTAATTTTACAGTAGAAACTCTGACACCTACATGCCCTATTTTAAACATTATAAGGTTGATATTTTGACAAGAGTTGAAATTACAGAGGAGAGACTGTAATTATATATACTTAAGCAAATCACATTCTTACAGCTCTGGCATTATGTGGTCAAAATACTGTATAAAGACTTGAGCTTTAACTTTACTTGGAAAGCCCTGGATTAAAACAGGCATTATGTTATCAGCTGTTAAAAAAGTACAGCTCTACCTTTAGTTTTTTACATACATTTATATCATCAATCATTAAATATCCAACCACACTTTTGCTTTTTGTTCCTTTTTGTTTCTTTAAGTTTTAATGATCATCTTTTTCTTTGAAACAGACGTGTTCTTGACGCAGCTAAAAAAAACAACCAGACGGGCCATTTCCTGTGGGTGGGATCAGACAGCTGGGGCTCCAAGATCTCGCCAGTGATTGGCCAAGAGAGAGTGGCCGAGGGGGCCATAACGATTCTTCCCAAACGAGCTTCTGTGGACGGTAAGYAAGTGTAGAAGTCAGGCTTAAATGTCATTATAGATCCAGCTCATGTACAATTTAATGAAGTGAGATGGGAGTAGGTGGACACTTTAATGCCAAATGTCACAAACATCTTTAAAATATACCTCATGTCATATTTCAGCAGCAGGTCAGTCAAGCTTTAAATAGTCTGTATGAATTTCAGAACTTGTACAGAAATTCCTCCGTATTTAAGGGGAAATCATGTCTTGAATCTTATCTTCGGTGAGTGAACAGCATGGGCAGGAATGCAGATTGTACAAAGGAAACATTCTGCTCTCATGTTTATTTAATTTAGATCACAGAATAAGTTGTTGTTGGAACATGTTGATCGCAGAGCTGCATTTCCCCAACTGATCTGAGGAAATTTAAAATGACCCAACGTTTATACATAGGAGTCACTGCACCAAAACTAAGTTTATGTATTTTATTCATGTTAGTTTGGTTTTGGTCAGTGCACTGTGAATTCTGCAGCTGGACAACAATGTCCACAGTTTCATTTAAAACCGTTTTTAAAACAGAAATGCCAGTGATGGGGTTTTCTCTCTTTAATGGTGTGATGTAAAAGTTTAGTGGTTTTTACTTTTTTTTGTTAACACTGGTATTTCTTAAAGTCATTTGTCAGATTGTTCCTTCTCTAAATGCTAACTGCTACTAGCTTAATGTTCACTTGGTACTAGTTGCTCTGAATGCTAATTAAGAGGTGAAAAAAATTGGCAATTGACCTTTTCTATTCATGCCTTGGAAATTAAAAAGATATTTAAGCAAGAAGAAAATGTTTTTCAGTAGCAGTTTAAAAGTGGTGTGCATCTTCCTTGCTGTCAGGGAAACGTCCTGGCATTAGGTTCAATGAAGAGGTGGAAGAGGCAAGCAGCTGAAGGCTAAAAGGGTGTGGGTCATCAAGAGTATCATAAATGGTCAACCAGCTTGCCATACAGATTGGGGTTATTTTAGGATCTCAGCCACAGTAAGGACACTCCCACTTTCTCACTTGTTCAACTTTGTGAAGTGTCTTTCAGGCTGAAACATAATATTTACCGTATTTTTCGGATTATAAGCCGCACCCCTAACATAAAAAAAACAGTACACCCAAATTTGTCGTCAAAAAAGTGAATTCAACATCAAAACATAAAAAGCAAACCTTTAAGAATTAAAGTTRGGAGGAATACGGTTCATTTAACTGACCTTATTTTGGTAGTTTTCTTTAACAGTTTCTGATCCAACAAAATGTCTCATTCATCGTCCTCCGGCGCACTGAAACCATCGAAGTCCTCCTCTTCAGTGTGGGAGTTAAACAAGCTGAGAAAAGCTGCGTCACACAGCGGTATCTGTTCAGTGTTGCTTTCTGTGTCGCTGTCCTCCCGGGGTAATGCTTACGGTAATGCCCGGGGTAATGCTCGTGTCTGTCGAAGATCCGTCGTATCGTGTCTGCTACTAGCTAAAACAAAATGGAGCTACACCTCCGGCTAAGCTGGCTGTATGGTCGCTCAGCTGTCGACTGGTCGACGCGCCGTCACGTGATTGTTCGGCATTTGTTTTCTCACTGACCTTTCATAGTCCCCCCGAGAAACCCAGAGCCTAGCTGCTGGGAAAGCCCTCCCGCTCCAGCATACGTCACTGCATGGGATTCCTTCCCCAGGGAGTGCAATGCCGAAAAAAAGTTGTCAGCTCTTCACTCAACGTTTATCCACAAACTGGTCCTGGATTAAGCTCCAAAGTTTTTATCAGTCAGATTACACCGTGAAATATGTCTGTTTTATCCCCTTTTATGAGTTTTTGGCCATTGACTATCTTTAAATTGCTGCTTCCTGGTCAACAGTCGGCTCTGGAAGCGATTGCTTTTTTCTTTTTTTTTCTTCTGAGTGGTTGAAGCAAATGGAGCATAAGAGCCCCCTGGTGGCTGAAGAAAAAAATCCACGTATAAGCCGCACCGGACTATAAGCTGCATGGTTCAAAGTTCAGGAAAAAAGTCGCGGCTTACAGTCCGAAAAATACGGTAGGTCATATTCAGACCTGATAATTTGCTCCGCTTTAAACCAACCAGAGTTCGTTTCCAGCGTTGATCTGGACCTTTTGTGCAGGTGTGAATACACTCATGCGAACTCTGGTGCGGATCAAACAACCGGACTGAGACCTGCTTTTTGAGGTGGTCTTGGTCCGCTTCCAAACAAACTCTGGTGCGGTTCACTTTAGTTCTCTTCTGGTGTGAATACAGWCCBGARTCTAACCGAACCAACTGCATTAAACATGCACCTTTTTGGACTTCACAGGCCACCGTTGCTGAGCTAAATAAACTGAAAACATGTTCACCTGTTTCGTCGTCTCCTGTTAGCAGCTCTACTGCCAGCATGTTGTGGGTCAGAACACGCAGCGCACCTTTTCTCCTTTGGGCTGCGGGACACATTTACTGACGCCGCTCCAAAATTAGAATATCATCACGGAGCCACCATTAAATTAGCTGCTTCTGACATTTTAAATGCTATTGCAGTTGCACTATCAGCAAAAATGTGCGCATCAAAACTGCAGCATGCAGGACTTCCTTGTTTTCTTCTGGATCTGTGGCTCAGTCCCGCCCCCATCCTTTTTTGTCCAATGGGAGCAATGATCYTCAGCCTGATMGCTTTGTTTACAAGTTATAGTTCATTTGCAAAAAAGCACAATGTGAATGCAAACTGCACCAAACGAAAAAAAATAAAGTCCATTTTTGGTCCGGACCAAACAATTGGACCAAAGAACTTCCCTGGTCTGAATACACCCTTAGTATTCTGGTTAGAGGCGGACTACACAAACTCTGCTGATTTAAATGACTTTGACTTCCAAGTGTTGTTGGCTCTGTAATTTGTTCACTTATCTCTAACTAAAGCAAGTGCTGTGCAGGGCACATCATTTGGCTCAGCAGTGAGCAAACACGTCGATGTTCCACACTGATTCAGTCAAAAGAAACTAACTTTCTTGGTTCTCTGTTTAAACCTTTTAGGTACTTTCCAATCCCACTGTTGACTCTTGTTTGCGGCAGTTTCTCTCCAAATTTCTTTTAGGAGTCTTGCTATTTCAGCTTTTATCTAAGTTTTTGAACATCACACCTGCTAGCACACTGGGAGGCATGTGATCCCACCTGACATGTGCTTCCTGTCGAGTTCCACATAGAGTAAAGCCACACTTCCCAGCAGTCTGTCTATCAGTAGAGCTGCACAGGTACACACAGAACCCACATCCATGACAGCAGACAAGATCAATCAAGGCAGCTCTTGTCAGCTTTTACAGTGACTCAGACATCGCACATGGTGTCAAAGTTATTCTGAAAGGTTCTCGCGCCTTGTCACTGCTTAACACTAAACCCATGGATCTGAAACTGCGGTACAAATACCACATGTGGTACTCAAGATCCCTGTAGTGGTACTTCAGATACATTTTGCTTTAAATTTTTTATACATTAAAAAACAATATAATTAACCAGCATAAGCTAAACTGTTATGTAAAGCTAAAATATAGAAAGAGCCAAAAGGGTAAGTGTGTAAAATCTAATGGATGTGTTTGTAGCAGCACCAATGAAATTTTTATATCTGCTGCCAACGAAAGGTACAAAACAGTGAAAAAATTTGATTCACGTTATCTCACGCATTTTATATGTAAACTTAAGGTTCATAAAAGCAATGCAGAATCTTTTAAGAATAGCTGCTGTGCTTTTCTTGGTCTCCTTTTCTTGCATCATTTCGTCCTGCAAGTTTAATGTGTGTGACTTTTTAGAAATGTTTTCTCTCCTTTTAGAATTAGACACATGGTCAAGCTGTAGTGCCTAAAATGTTTCTCTTTGCTCTCATTCTAGGCATTCACTAACAAAAATGGCTTTTCAGCTACACAGAGGTTATTTATATTTCATTTATTTCAATGACAGAACATATTACACTGCTGTGAACATGGATCTATTTTTTTTCAGCAGAGTCTCGGTAGAATTAAAGTCCTTAAACCCTGAGGCACTAGAGCCCTCTCCTCACCACACTGTTAAACAGATCTCAGTGTTGAAGCCATTTCTTTTAGTCAGAGTCATGTGGGTTCAGTAATGTAGAGGTACTTAAGGCATATTTTGAAGAGTATTAAAACCCCTTCTCACCCTGTGCTCTTCTCCTCTCTGTCTTTTATGCAGCATTTGACCGATATTTCCGTAGTCGCTCCCTGTCCAACAACAGGAGAAATGTTTGGTTTGCTGAATTCTGGGAGGAAAACTTCAACTGTAAGCTGGGGATGCATGGAAGACGACCTGGTATTCTGAAAAAGTGCACAGGTAAGACTAAACACTTTGCTATTATGCCCCAATACCTGGTGTATGTGTGTGTTTTAAACTCAACACTGCATGCAACCACAGCTAAATATATTTGTAGGTCTGTCTGAGCAACTTCTTAGTAGGTTTGTGTATTTTTTTCATTGCTGTCAATAACTCCATCAAAGTGTTGTATCCAGAGCTGATTTATTGGCACATTGATACATGATCTGCTGAGGTGTCCCCTGAAGTTACAGTGCAAATTGGAGTTCACATGTGAGAGTACTTCCTGTCTGATGCCTGCCATTAGTTCACATAATTAGGTTTGTAGGGTCTGCGACTCCCATCGACCGTTTCACACTTAACCATGGCATCTGTGCACGTTTGAGTGTAGAGGGCCCCTTACCCATGCGACAGAGTCCATTAATTCCAACTACTCTGGTGTTTGACCTCCACATCGTCCACACAGAAGCCAATCAGCAGCCAGCTGCTCAAGGTCGTCATGGTGACACAGCTGAAGGAAACGTGTGCAAATGGGTGTGATTATTGCATGTGACGGATGTGGATATGAGCAATAAAAAAATTGTCAACAGGTACAATAGACCCAACAGAAATGGACAAACAATGCAATGTCACAAACATATATAACAAATGAGAATGGACAAACCTTGAAGAAAAATACTGACAGAAGAAAAGGAAGATGTTTTTTAACTTGGGAAAATGTTGAACTCTGTCATCCTCCATATTTATTGAATATGTTGCATTTTGTATTTTAACACCAAATCCTAACTTATACAGTTGGGACAATAAGTATTTAGTCAGTCACCAATTGTGCAAGTTCTCCCACTTAAAAAGA